TTTCCCCACTTGCCCCCATCTCTGGGTAGCCCTGTATACAGGGACCCCTTACCCAGGGCTGAGATGCGGCCCCTCTGGGGTGGGGCACTGGGGCTGTGTAACAGCCACACAGAACGTTTAGGGCAGGAAGAGAAAGAGAATCCTGCATCAGATGCAGGCTCCAGCGGGGGATATAGGGAGGGCTATGCGGAGTCCCTCAGATTGTGGCATGGCCCGGACACCGGGGTCCGCTAAGGGAAAAAGGCTCTGTGGCCCATCCATGATTCTCAGTTAATGTAGCCGAGCCCCTTCTGGCCAGCAGGGGGCAGCGCCAGCTCAGGAACAGGCCTAGCCAGCCTTGGTGTGCTACCCAGCCAGCCGGCCCTGGGCAAACTCCAGCCACTGGTGTGTGCAGACACAGAGGGGTCGCTTCTGCCCCACTACATGGGGACGGAACCCCGGCATCCTGCCTCCCAACCCCCGCATGTGCTGGGGCAGACAGAGCCAGGCAGCAGAATATAGACAGGCCATGGGCCAGGTTTTCCCAGCTCTAGCCACTAGGCCCCACTCCCTTCCCAGGGATAGAACCCAGGCACCCTGGCTCCCAACCCCACACGGCTAACCACTAGGCCCCACTCCCCTCCCAGAGCCAGAGATAGAACCCAGATGCCCTGGCTCCCAGCCCCGCCCCCACTCTAACCACTAGGCCCCACTCCCCTCCCAGAGCAAGGGATAGAACCAGGTTTCCTCATAAGCTCATCTGTCCCCATGGGCTGCCCAGCAGCTGGGGGCCCTGGAGGCAGTGCCCTGGGCTGGGGGTGGGGGGAGTGATAGAGGAGAGGGGTGCAGGTGTTTATTGCCTCTGGCTAGAAAAGTGGGGAGGCAGCTGGTGCTGTGGGGGAGCTGGCGTGGGCGGGTACTATTCCCCTCACGCTGCCAGGGTCGAGCAGCTGGCGCTCTGCAACAGTCATGCTCCCCTGTTTGCTAACTACACTGGTTAATTGCTTTCCGATCCACATGAGGGGAATGGTAAGCAGGACAGCCAGCCTGCTGGGGGGTGGGGGGGAACCAGGACTCCTGGGTTCTCTCCCTGGCTCTGGGAGGGGAGTGGGGACTAGTGGTTAGAGCAGTGGGGGCTGGGAGCCAGGATTCCTGGGGGCTTGTGAGAGGAAATTCATTGAGGTTTCTAAAAGGCCTCGGGTAGGCACTTAGAAAAGGCTAAAGATAGATTAATAACACCAGTTATAGCTTTTATAAAATGCAGCTGCCTCTGGGCTGGGATGCAGGGGCTATTTATACAGGGACCCCTCGCCCAGCACTGGAACGTGGCCACATCTGGGGTGGGGCGCGGGGGCTGGGTATACGGGGCTCCTCACCTGGCACTGAGATGCAGCCCCTCTGGGGTTGAGTGCAGGGACTGGTTATATGGGGACCCTTCACGCCGTCCTGAGATGCGGCCCTTCTGGAGTGGGGCATTGGACATGGAGGCTGTGTAACAGCTCACGGGAACATCTGGGGCAGGAGATGAAGTTTCCCGTTGAAATGTCAGGAGAATTATGGGCACCACTTTTGGAGTGAAAAAGCCAAGGGACGGGGCGCTTGGCACCACTAGTAATAATACAGTGCCCCCAGGCCTGGGCAAGCAGCGGGTCACCGGTGGAGCTGCATGTGGGATGAGTTCCCCTCCCGCACTGTTCCTGGTGCCTAATGAAGGGGGTTTAGGGAGATGATTAAGGGGGCCATGGAACGCCAGGGGCCAACTGCAGGGCACCAGTGGCTTAGCACCACCTCCCCCCTTGAGGGACGGTCAGATCAGCCCCCCGTCCCCGCAGCATCCCAACTGCCCTAGGCCCTTTCCCCACTCAATCTCCTTCACCCCAGCCCTCCCAGAGCCAGGGAGAGAACCCAGGAGTCATAGCTCCCAGTCCCCCTGCTCTAACCACTAGACCCCACTCCCCTGCCAGAGTGGGGCTGGGACTGATCGGCTGTCTCCTCACACCCAGCTGGCGCTCTGCCGTTACATTTTCTATCGGCCGTGTCTATTTTTTCCTCCTTTCTTCCTCCTTCCCTTGTTCTCTGCAGAGAGCCCGAGCGTCACGAATGGGGGACGGGGCCTTTGTTCCTGTGAGCCGCCTTGCTCCCCGCTGCTCCTAACCAGCCCCAGTCGCAATCCGCAACAGCTTCCATCGTCGTGCCGGCTCCAGCGGGGCGTGGGGACTGGCCGGACAGCACCGAGAGAGAAGACAGCTGGACTGAGGTGCTAGGGGGGTACTGGGCAGGGGGTCAGCAGGGGGCACTCTCCTCTGCCGGTCATTGCAGACGCCGGTGCTCCAGGGCCCGGCTGTGCTGCAGGGAGGGTGTTCAGTAGGGGGTGTTCTTCTCCCCTGGAGGTGCTGCCCCAGGGCTAGGCATCTCCCCGGCTTGGCCCACACGGGTGAATCTTTCTGTAAACACCTACCCCATAGGGGCCTCTAGGTTCTGCCCCCCTGGCTTTGGGGTGAAACCTGGTGCAAATTTACCCCTCTACAGGCCTGTGAGCTTCTGAGCCCCCCCAGAACCACCCAGCCCCCCATAGCACAGCTCCCTTTTGGTTCAGGGCTCTCTGCCAGCCAGGGGAGTGTCCCCCTTTTTAGCACCACAGCCTCTAGGTTCAGCCCTGACTGCAAGGGGAAGCTATCCCACTCACACACCCCTTACACCAACCACTTCCCATCTGGTCTCTCCTCCACCCTCCTAATTTCCTGGGCCCTGCTCAGCTTGTAGAGAGCAGCTGGTATCACAACTCAGGGTGCTATAGGGGCAAATTGGTGGCTGGCTTCTCTGGACATGGGGGAGGGAGGGAAGTGTGGAACTTTGTGTATCTCCCACACACACCCCTCAGAGACATACATCCCTTGCACACACATACGCACACCCTCCTCTGCTACACACAGACCCCTCTGCTACATACACCCCTTGGACACACATACACACAAAAACATACCCCTCTACTACATACACACATGCACACACACCCCTCTGTCAGACAACCTCACACACCCCTCTGCTACATACACCCCTTGGACACACACACACACCTCTGACACATACACCCTCACACACCCCTGTGCCACATACACCCTTTGGAGACACACACACACACACACACACACACACACACACACACACACACACACACACCACC